TCCTGTCATCTGGGGAGAGTTTAATCATCTATCATAATGGGCATCAAGATTTTAACTAATATATTGGATAAAACACCAAGCTTATCTTGGTTTTTTGACAGTTTATTCTTCATTGCCTGTATTTTAACCTCAACAATTCTAGGCATTTCTACATTATTTAAGTAAATGCACCCATTAAGGTTTTAAAATTAGCATTTATATTTGCTTCAATGTCTCATGTAAAGTGTTTGGTAGATTATTTCACTGAAGTAACATAAGCAAAACCACTTTTTTCCTGGATATTCTCTTTTATTCCAAACTGGTAGATTACCTGTAAAATACCCATGTAACATGCCATACATATATTTTGTCTGTCTGAAAAGTAATTTTTAATCAAGACTTCCACTTTATGGGGAGATTTGACTTACCAGAGAGTCTGTTCAGGAGCTGATTGGGGTTTTTTTTTAAGAAGAAAAAAAATTACCAGGACAAAAGTAACTGAAAGCTGAATGGGAAAGCCTGGAACTATCATTATGAAAACTCCTCCTTCATTAGCTAGCTACAAAACAAACAATAATTCAGCAGCATTTTCACATTAAAGGTGACAACAAAAGCACAACCGAAGGCTTTGCCTTCATCATAATTAGTTTTGTTTTGTAAGATAACATAACATAGTTTTTGCAAGTCTCATTCCACTCCATTATAAAAGGCAACTCAGCCAGAAGAAATTGCTTATTACACTGAACTCAAACGGTTGGATGACAGAAGCTGAAACAATTAGAAAGTATTAAAAAAAGCAGTAACACTTACTTTATGGAAATGGTGGGGGGGGGGAGTCCTGGTTAATTCACAGGTGTAATTTATAAATAATTCTGTTGATTGTCCTTAATGTGCACTGGAAAGTGCACTTGGATGTGCAAGATAATTAGCACATTTGGTTTTTATATGAAAAGTTTAGAGGTGATGAATCAATCTCAATGTAACCACAGATCTTTTACTAAAGTCAAGGAAAGCTATGGAGAATTCAGGCTTAAGTAATGTTTGTGAGGGAAGTATCAGCAGAAAAAATGGGGAAATCCATACAGAGACACACTGGTAGAAGACTGCTAAGACAAGCAAGATACATAATATCACAGAGTGATGGGAAAAATTAGGTTCTTTTGTCATACATGGTCTAGAAGTTTGTTTACATACATGGTCAGTAGGATAGACTCATTGAGGAACGGTTCAAAGACAGTCACGTTTCTTCTTTATGAGAGGAGCAGTAAATACAAGGAGAGCTGAGGAGCAAATCCTCTCTTAATACAATTAATGTCCCTCTTGACAGCAGAGCTTCTTTTGAGAACTGGGTACTGGTCTTCGAACTATAACTCCTGGAAGAATTATTATTCTGTATGCTGTGGGAAGTCCTCAACCCCAGTGTTAGGTATATCCTATACTCTGTAGGACTGCCTTCTCCTTCGAAGTCCTATTCAGCAGAGAGAAATAGCATATTTAAGCATATTGTGAACATGTTTATGACCCTCAAAACTGTAGGATAACTGAAAGCAAAACATTATTTATAGGTGTCTAAAATGTAATTTGAGAGATAGGCAACAGATCAAGCCAACAATTATGCATATTTGATAATGATTGTGATTGGTGTATCCAGCAAAGGCTAAGAAGTTATGCAATTAATGTTCTAGTAACTTTATTAATTTTCTAGCTTGGGTGGATATCCATATACTTATCAAATATGTATTCAATTTACTATGAATTAAGCTACCTCTCTCTAGAGGGGTAACTCGAGCGGTAGAAAGGACTGGGAGGCCAGGCAGTGCAGAGACGAGGCCACAGCACAAGTGTGAACAACTGTCTGGACCCAGGCAGCACTGCATCCTTATGTTAGCCAAGCACAGGGTTAATGCATGACATCTGGGAAGGAAATAAGGGATATGCATCCTTTTCTGAAGGAATTTGCATGGAGCACCACTCTAGCTCCGACTCCGAAGATGTCCCTCTTGCTTTCCTAATTCACTCTGAATTTACAGCTCCTTCACCTTGGCTCAATATGGCTGAGGAGCTTTTGCTGGCCATTATCTCTGATCTTGTCTGCACTTGCAGCGAGCCCTTCTGTCTATCTTCCTCTGCACAGGCAGCTCCTCCCACCCCCATCCTGTCTACAGAGAGCACAAACCTTACTCTGGAGCCCTTTGCATCCTCCCCACTGGACCTGGGTCTGATGCACTAACTCCCCAAAAGCACAGCCACTGGCTCCTGCCTCCACCCCAAGCCTCCTTGGCCATCCCAGACCTTCACCACTAGCTCTTCCTCCAAACACCTCTGGAGGCAGCTGCAGAGAAAATCAGATTGAGGAGCATGTCAGACTGCCAGACTGTTGAGAGAACAACTATTATATGGCTGCAGGCTTGTCCAAAGGGCTGAAGCCTGTCCACATGCTGTTCTGCATCATCCTCTACATTGTCCTCCTGTGGCCAGCGCCAGGCATCTATTTAGAATCTGGGGTGTATTCCCAACCACTGCTTCCAAATCAAAACAAATTTACACAACTGCAACTAGAAGGCCTCCAGACAGCATGTTTTTGTGCTTTCCTTTCCTTGAATAGAAAGAAGCCTTTCCTATGGGAACCAGGACTACCACTCATTTCTCTGATACCAGACTGAAGTCCCATGTGGCTGTATTCCCAGACTGTTTCTGCTGAAATGCTGCAGTTTGTCATTGGAAAGTGTTTTCAATATAAAAAGTCAAAGACAATTTGACTAAATGTGAATCAGAAGAAAAGATTGGGAAAGCAGAGGAATAATAATACATCAATTTAGCAAAGTTCTTGCTGTGAATATCAAAAAGTATGTCACTAATCTGCGCTGATTGCTTGGAGAAAATTCAGAGTGCATGAGTGCTCTGTTATCTTTGCACTGCACCTTTTTTTTTGCTGTTGCGCTTGTACCAGTGCATATCTTACAAAGATTAATATGCTCCTACCAAATCCATACAGCCTTATAAAATCCATGGGGACATCTGGCAAGAATTTATCAGATCTTTTTTCTGCATGTTCCTTGCAAACAGATTAGTACCTAGTGAAGTATTCTTAAGTGAGAGGGTAGAATGAAATGGGTGTTTTATTGATGCAGAGAGGAGATCAGTGGGAATTCAAAATCTGAAGTTGCAAGATAAGATCAGGTTGAGTGAAAGACCTTTTCCTCTGAATTTGGAAACAGCAAGTAGCTATCAAAAGAGTGCACAAAGTAGAAAGGGATCACAGAAAACTCCATCATTTAAGGAGTTAATAAATGTCTTTGACAAACCTTTCATGCATGTTTTCACTGGCTTCACAAGAATACACAATGTGAAGTTGTGTCTTACATAAACAGAGAAGGAAACGAATGCAGCTTTGCTTTACCAACTGGAAAAAGAAATACTATTAGTAGATTCTATCAAATTCAATAATTTATTCCCTCTTTACACTGCTTCTTTCCTTGAATCAGTTATTTGCCCTGATAGGTGGCAGGACTGTCACCTTCTTTATCACCAAGATGTGTAGATGAGTGAAAGACAAACATATCAATGGATTTATGTGGTGGAATGTAATTTTGCTCTGCTTAAACCAAACATCTGTATAGACTAACAAATATCAAATCCTCCTGAATCCTACTTCAAAATGCAAGAGCGTATCTATCAACGCAATTACCTACATCACAAACAGCTGCAAATTGAATGCCAGAGATCAAACACCACAGCAAGTTTTCACAACAACCTTGAAGTTCCAATCAGTTCTCTTGGGCATCACAGCATATAAGCACAGATTTCAGGAAAACCACAAAAAATCTACCACTGTCTTCAGCCAAGAGTGCTGACTGTATATGCACCTCTGCCGTGTAGTTGGGAGAACCATGAAAACACTCTGGCCGCATCTGGAGCAGATTCACTCTGCCTGACATCTCAGTCAGTGACTATTGTGTTAGTAGCACCTTTTTGTTGAGGCAGTGACTGGGTCTGTATAAAATTAATACAGAAAAAGAAGTGAAAAAAAGGAAACAAGCATACCAAAAAGGTGGAATAAATTACCATAAAAAGATAACAACCCTGTCTAGTAAGCTACTCTAAATGTAGGTTAAAAAATGAGAACTATAGTCTAAGTTGCTCACTTTTAACAGACAGGCATTGAAAATTGCATAAATAACAGTTGTATAACTAAAAAAGTACCATTTGTTTCACTTGGACTCTGAAAGCTGCTGCCTTCCATTCTGCAGGATCCAGGCTGTCAAATTCCCAGAGTTAGATAATCGATCAGTAGTACAAGAAATTAAAGGGAAATGTTTGACCCTGCTGGGAATTGACAAGGGCTCATAGACATCTTAGACCCCTCGTGTGGTTTGCTCATGGCCAAAGTCAGCCAGCAGGTAAGGGACAAAAAAAAAAGCTGCACGTTGCACGTACTCCAGAGCCACACTCCACCAAGACCCCAGTCCTCAAAAACCTCCAAAAGGACAGTAAGAGAATTCCTGTGAGTATTCACCACTAGGCAAGTCCCATACATCCTTGTATGCCTGGGGCCCAAAATCAGTAATTTGTATTTGCCTTTAATCAGGCTGTGCCAATGTGCACATTAATTTAAGCCCCAGTTATGAAGAGGAGATATATTAACATACAGAATAGTCATTGCCAGAAAAATACACAAAAAAAAGTTGTGAGAGAAAGACCTATATGCTACAGAAACTCTTGGTTCATACTTTTCCTCTAATTACCAACTCAGTGAGTGCCCCTTTGTTTTTCAGGTCACTCCCCAATTATATATTACATGTCTCTTTGTTCCAGAACCTTTAATTCTTTTCCAGTGTTGCAGAATTAAACGGACAGGGTTCTTAATCTTGTCTCTACAAAGAACTTGTTGTAATTGCAATGAATGCTTTCATTTTGCTGGTGTCTGAAATACGATTTGCAGGGGAAGGGGGAGTGCGGGTTGATGCTAGTCCCATCATTAATAACATTCTTGCAGGGATTGTAGTGGTGGGAGTAAAAAAACCCAAAGCTTTTATATAATAACAAGCATGTGCCTGCACGTGAGCTGTTCCTTTAAGAAGCCTTGGGCTAGCGGAAGAAGGGGGATCTGGAGAAAAGGCAGCCCTACAGCTGTAACATAGGGCAGAGGTTAAATCTGTTGCCATTTTTATTGCAAGTATGGTCACTGCATACTCTCTCCCTGAAGGCTTCACTGAATTAGAGGTGTTTGCCATCGGCACTGCCCTGCTGGTAGAAGGTAAGCTCGGTGCAAGACATCAGCAGGAATAAGGTTTTTACCCTAATTACTCCTGGTGGGAGGGGGAAAGAAAACTGAAGCAAACAGCAGCATCTGTGGTACATTCACCAGTGGTGGTTACTGCTGCTATGTCACCGGTATTTCTTGTGAGTAAATCAGGGTGAACTGCAAGCTGTTTGCACTGAAGATCCCTGTGGCAGTGAAGTTCCTGCTACATAGCTTTCTTATCAAGAATTTGGGATGCAGGATTTTGTTGTTGACTTTTAAAGGCAATTTTATCCTACGGGGAACAACACTGGAATGACTAAAAATCTCTCAATAAAATTGGGCTTCTTGTTTTGTGGGCTGTGATAGTTGTTTCAGAATCAAAGATGATAGGTCCAAAATAATGTGTTAACTGTTAGCATACATACAAATTGCATTGGTAGTGCTGCAAGTAATGGCTCTTGGATAACAGTAAAAGCCAGAAATATACTTGGGCGACATTCAAGAGCTCTCATGGCATTATGAAGCAAAAGTTGGGATAGGAGACCGTATTCGTTTAGGTGAGCTAATGTGGGCTTTTCTTAAGGCATGTGCCACTTCACTGAGAGACTGCAGCAAAACTGTGAATTTGTATCTACCTGGTAGCTAGTGAAGGACAGGTGTGTAGCTGGGATTATTAGGTGTAAGTCAGTGGCATCTCTTCTGAGCTACATCCCAGTCAGGGCCTGGGACTCCATCCTTGCATAGTGCTGCTCAGCTGGGGAAGCAGGGATTGTGAAGCCCAACAGTAGAGGGGGAGAAGGTGTAAGCACCATCAGAACGGGATAAATGCTCATCAGCTCACCTCATGAATGTGGAGCATGGGAGAAAGGAGAATGCTCTCCCTTTCCTTGCAGGTGAGCTCAGCTGGAAGGCAGCATCATATCTGCCTGCAAAGGAAAGCTGTAAGAACTGTGTCAGAAACTCTTCCGTGGGAGAGAGAGAGAGAAGAAAAACCTTTTCCTTCTATCCTAAACAGAGTTCAGGGCTAAACTGGGCCACGAGCATTAAGCCATCTGCAGTGCCTGGCAGGGCCTGGCATGACTTTGCACTTCATTACTGAGGGGTGAGAAGCGGCAGGAGGACGAGTACACCGCCGGGTGCTGGCAGAGCCTGACAGCAGGGGTCTTGCTGGGGAACGGCTGGCTGCAGCACCACAGACCTGCCAGCCCTCACCTGCCCATGCCCAGGGGGCTGCAGCCAGCCGGGGACCTTCTCTGCTGTTGAAGTCCAAGCAGAGTACCTGCTGGTAACCCTCACCTAAACTAGATGTCATCTAGCACATTTGTGCTTTACTAAACACAAGTATTTTCTGTAGGGTTTTAGGCAGAATGTGCCCAGTGGATTGGCAGTAAAACTTTATCTTTTCCATCTGACTTAGAAGATCTAACTAAATAATTAAAGATTCATCCACTTTCTCAAGGCTCTGAGAGAAACCAATGAAGACAGCCTTCCAGTATCTGAAGGGGGGCTATAGGGATGCTGGGGATGGACTCTTCATTCAGGAGTGTACTGACAGGACAAGGGGTAATGAGTTAAAACTTAAACAGGGGAAGTTTAGATTGGATATAAGAAAGAAATTCCTTACTGTAAGGGTGGTGAGGCACTGGAATGGGTTGCCCAAGGAAGTTCTTAATGCTCCATGCCTGGCGGTGTGCAAGGCCAGGCTGGACAGAGCCTTGGTTGACATGGCTTAGTGTGAGGTGTCCCCGCCCATGGCAGAGAGTTGGAATGTGATGATCTTAAGGTCCTTTCCAACCCTAACTATTCTATGATTCTATGATTCTACGACCTTCTTTCTGTGGCAGCTTCTGAGTGCAGTTTGCAAAAAAGTCCTGTGGAAGAACTGAAACTTGCATTCACTTCATTAGCTGGACACATTTGTTGTCCTAAAAATGAACATATATATTTTTAACTGAGTTCTCTATTTGTACACTCATGCTGGCCTTCAAGAAAGCAGAGTGGGTTGAAGCCTGGAGCTTCCAAAAACTGGGGAAAGATAGAAGAAAGCTGATCTGTTAGTAACTCTTTTTCTACTACTCTAAATAAGGTCACAACATACCTCTCCTAAAGGCTTCACTGCATTTGGGAGAGTTGGCAGCAGTTTTACCCTGTGGATGGGGGGTAAGCTGGTAGGGAAGAAATAATAACAGCAGATCTCAAATGGCTTCAAGTATTTCTCCTGGAAATATTTTGTTGTATGTTATGTAATGAAAGGCGCACATCAGCTGTTACTATGGTTATGCCATCAGCCATTAATGCAATTAAGGTAGGAGCAGGATTTCTGACTGACAAAATCATCCATCTTATGTAGCTGCAGAATTAAGACAATGAGCATAAGTAACTACACTGCAGAATTAGGGGATATGGGTTTTCTCTGTGCTACATCATTTCTCTTTCCAAGGAGAACACAAAAAGACATACTGCCTCTTATCTAACTGAGATCTGGGATGTTGAGTCAGAGCCTCATCAGAGCTAAAACAATTCGGGTAATTCATCTTGAAAAGGACATTAAAGGACAAAGCCTGAGTTTAAACCAGTGAAGAACAGGTTTCAGAGTGGCACAGCTCTCTGCTGGGTGAATAGCCAGAGCTGCTCGGATGCTCCTCTCTGAGGACTAACATTAACTTATTTTTTAAATCTACCAGTGACTGCTTTTTATAATTAGATTATTCCTTTCCATGTATAGTCTATTGACGAAGGGCAGTAATAAGATTGAGCTGATGTGATACAAGCACTGTCTAGGCTAACCTTAGACAGAAGCCCAAAGGTAAACAGGCTGACTGAAACACAGCTGAGGGGTTTAAACACAAAAGAATGGTACAAACAATATTAAATACAGCCCATTTCTTTACCAAAGACAGGCTTGGGGATGTGTGCACCAGCAGCATGTGCTGGCTGTCTGCCCTTCTGCATATCCCTCACTCTGACCCATGTGTCCCTGGATGGAGCCCAACAGCCAGGTTTCTCTATTAAAACAAAAGGCAGAATACAAATAAGATTAAAGCACTTCTGCTCTGCATGACTAGATATACCCCCAGTGCAGTACGAAGCACTGACTTCAGCTGTCATCTATGACAGTCTCTGTAACTTGCGTGAAGACTGTGACTACTGTCTATATATACTGTCTATATACATTCCCTGTACATAACTTTCCATGGTAATTACTGTTCTCTCATTAAAGAAAACAGCAGTATCATTATAGATATTTCCCAGTTCCAGTTGAATCACGCAAAACAATTCTGTGTTTCAGCCCTGCTTGGCTTCTGTCTGAATGGCTTGACAATTATTTCTTTCCGAAAAATCAAAGAACTCCGAACACCCAGCAATCTGCTGGTTCTCAGCATTGCACTGGCCGATTGTGGGATCTGCATCAACGCATTCATCGCTGCCTTTTCCAGCTTCCTAAGGTATCTTCTTCTTCCTAAAGAAGATAACGCAAAATTAACAGCTTAAGTCCTAAGAGGTCAAATTAATACAAATTATTCTCTAGCATACCATCTAACCAACTTTTTCATTCTTTCTATTTAAAACCACAAAGTGAAACGCTCTATAGATCTACCAAGCAAGAAAAACACAGACTTTACTGCATATAATCACTTGCAGATTATAAAGCTGATTATAAAAGACATTTAATCAGGCAGCTTTGTGAGTGGTTATAGTAGAAGCTGCTTGAATATCGAAATATTAGTACATTTTAATTTGACTAAGCCTCTAGATCAACCCCAAATTTATTTTTAAGTCTTTCTGGGTTTTTGATGAACCTTTCCATTAAAGCACTTATTTGAGAAATTTGCAGAAAATGAAAACGCCAACCTTTAGCAGGGAGTTTACATCAGTTGTGACACATTGGATTTTCCACATTTTCACACATGTCAACCATTTAATCAAAGGACAGAAACAATATCAAGCATTTCAGTGAATAATTACAACAAACAAATCACATGCAAGCCATACTCAAAAAAAAAACCAAAAACCCTATAAAATAGCTGATGAATAATTCTGCCTTACTACCATATTTTTAAACCCTGGAAATACTTCTAACAGAGAACAGAAATATATTTCAAGACTTAATGTGACCATTTTATCCTCCCTTAATGAATATAAAAACATTTTTGCAAATTAGGAATTCAATAATAAGCTCCAGTGAGGCCTTATTCAACATTATTTTGCTTCCTGTATAGGTCACTCTTGTTCAGACACTTATGTCTCACTGGAGTCAATAAAATGACTTTACTGAGCTGTAGCTGAGAAGCTAAGGTCGATATATCAAAATAAACTTGGTTTTAACAACTGCAGGACCTTTTCTCTTAAACGGGTGCAGAAGTTTCCCAGCTTCCCAGGCATTCAGCAGTCTCCTGTTCAACGGGACTTTCAGAAGTAGTCTCCCAATGAATTATACTGCTGTTCTGTAAACACATGACAAAGTAGTTTGCTGTGTACTTCTACCTCACAGTCAGCTTTATGAGCATAACAGTCAGGTTAGATGAGCAGAGAAAGAAGAAAAGCCATGGCTTCTTGCCATGGCTGACCAGGGTGTTAGGATGACCAGCACATGTCAGCGGATGTGACATGACATTACCACATGGTTATTCTCATTTTATGTCTACAAAGACATTTGGAGGCCACAGACTTGCTATTAGGAATATTTTTATTCATTGTGAGCTTTTGTACTGTGTTGCGTGGTGAACACTGGCTTTCCAAAAGGTTATTACTCACTTGCTATATTCACATGTTGACAAATTGGCTTCTTCCAGTGGGTGCAAATTTTGAAGATATGGATAATTGGATGAAATGAAGGTTTCAAATCAAAAAAAAACAACTTTCCAATCCATAAATTAAGGGTTTATTTTCTTTTACATATTAAGAGTTAAAATAGCTGTTGTACTGTATCAGGCGTCACAGCAAGAGAAAGGATGGCAAATACCTAAAGGCAACCACAGGAACATTTTTCTCAATGTTCCTCAGAAAACATGACAAAGGCTATCATCATTTTACCCTTGCAATTAATACGCTTCCAAAGATATCTTCACCTTTTTCTATCGTTTTCTTAACATACTTCTTGTTTGTTGGCAGATACTGGCCCTATGGCTCTGAAGGCTGTCAGATCCATGGATTCCAGGGTTTCTTGACAGCACTAGCCAGCATTAGCTCCAGCGCTGCAGTTGCCTGGGACCGGTATCATCACTACTGTACAAGTAAGGGATACAATTTACCTAGTAACCTTACTTGCTATAAGGCAGCTTGCTTAGATTTCAGAGAATCAAAGCAAGCACATATTTATTATCTGTGTATCTTATATGTAAGTTTATTTCTCTTGTACACCAGAGATAGAGCAAATACAATCTGTCCAAAGGACCTCTTCCCACAGAGTGGGGACTAACCAACCACCTTCAGGACATATTTCCTCTTCCACATCACATCCAAATTGTGACCCTTTTGCCATGATTTCACTTTCCCTGTAGGTAATCTTCAAAACAAAATCCAAACCAAAATACAACTCATCATACTGAAAAAAATGTATGCACCTTCGGCTTCCATCCAACACCCCGCTGTGTACCAAACAGATCTTCATGCCCATGCAGGGCTTCCTAATTACAGATAAATTTGGTGCAGCTAGAGAGCTGCCTCTCCAGAGACAGCAGCTGGAACATAGCCCAAGGCAAAGCACTTCTGCAGAGCTACAATCTTGCAGACAGAGCTCAGCAGCTCCATTGTGTGACAAACAAGCACTTTGGGGTACAAGAGCCATTGGTGAGGTCTGTGCTGTATTCTAGATTCCCTTATGAAGACTGGAACGTCATATATTTGTTCCCAAGCAAGGAAAAAATTATCTGCAAGTTTCAATAAAAGTGGCAGAGCTATTTTTAAATACTAATAAGAGGAGGAAATGTTATTTTTCTTGTCTTAGTGAAGGCCATTCTTTGTTGTTTTTTTTTTCTTGCAATATAGTTTTTAACTAGCTCTGACACCTCTGCTGGGTTTAATGGAAATCCAATTTTAGACAGGGAGATCAACCCAGGAAAATAAATTTGACATTTTCTATGGACTTATGAAAGCATATTTTTTATTTAGGTGAGAGTTTGAAAAGATTGGCAGATATGTGGATTTATAGAGATAGATATGCTCTGTTTTATCACAGAAATTCCTCCCAGACTTTAGCAGTACTGCATTCACATAACATGAGTGGAAATTCCTGCTGAATTAGAAATTCAACAGGTTTTGGTGCCTGTACAGCCTGCTGAAAGTCCAGATGTGCTCCAGCCACCACTGTGGATGGGGTGAAGAGGGGAACAACTGTATTCTCTTAGCACAGAAGTCAGGAAGCACAGCAAGGAGCATTATCATCTGCTGTAAAACAAAACAGCATCCTTGTAAGCACTGGAACTTGCAAAACCTGCTTTCTTGCAAACATGGTGCACAGGGATGATATTCACCTTTGTCTGATAAGATAGATTTGCGCTGACTGCTTGTCCTGGTTCCAGCTATAACAGCAGCTATGGGTGCTTTCCTGTGGCATCACCTCTTCCCAAACACTAACTTTCACAGTAAATGCAGCAGCTTGGTACCTGTCAGTTCCCACTTCCCTCTCCAGTATAATTCTAAGTAGCCAATGTTTTCAAAAGTGATCAGGAAAGGACTGAGAGACCAACACAAAGTGTACAATCTCACAGCCCTCATTAGGAAAATGGGAAAATACATGATGTGAAATACAAGCTTATTCTGAAAGGACATCCTAGCACTCTGTAATGCTAGAAATGCCCTAATTCACATTATAAAGTAACTTTGGCAGTCATGTGGGAGCTCTGGCACCTGGGAAAAATTGGTGAGGTTCTCCCATCTGCAGCTTTCATATCTCCTGCTAAAGCCAGGCTTTTTCCAGAGGAATGAGGAGTCCAGAGCACCTAATGTGACCACACCATTCCCTAAACACTTGTGTCCTTTTGGCAATGTTGATAGACAAACGCAGCCCTCCTTTTATTGAGCTAAAGCACAAGCTGCTCAGACCACTTCACAAAATATTTACTAAAGGAAAGTGTAAAAGCTGGCTGGGGAAGAAACTGCTGAGCTGCAGCGCTTCAGTCCCCTCCACCACTGGCATCCTCACAGCCTTTTAGGTACATCTTTCATGCGATTAAAGCAGCAAGTGGTGAAACACAACCAGAGCAGACAAGAAACATGTTCAGTGAAGATCCTGTTGAGGGTGGAAGGGTTGCCAACTTTTTGTTCTGCAGCTTTTGTCAAGAATTTTTCTCTTTTCCTCAGGCAACAAAATGTTGTGGGTTTGGTTTTTTTTCTTGTCCAAAGGCCCCAGATAATGCAGGCAGTAAGCTAAATCCATACTAACACCCTCTGGACCCTAAATGTGTTTGGAGCTAGAATAGGAGCATCTGTATTTTACAAGAGAGAGCCTGAAAATAAGCATGTCCTTGGAAAGACATTTTACTCTCTGCAACATTGGCTTTAATGCTTTTATGTCATGCCCTCCTCCAGTCAAGAGCATACTCCATTAAGAGCACAGGCAGAGAGACCCTAAGGGCACAAGCTTCTTTACTTTGCTCAAATTGTTACTTACTGATGGCCAAACATTGCTCCTGTTAGTGAATACTTTGAACAACAAAACAAAATAAAAACCAAAAAAGCCCTCAAGACCCAGAAGGTTTTAAAAGCTCATGCTCTGTGGCTATTCCAGTAAAACCAGCCACTTCTGGTTTCATCCTTCACATGTTGATTGAGAGCAAGATTAAATCATATTTCATAGATCTGATATCCCAAGGCTCCAGGCTATGTGTGTTCTCAATCCATACATTAAACTCCTGCTGACACTGGTGTGAGTTTTCATGCCTGTACAGAAGGCACAAAATGTCTCTGCCTAAAAAACAAAGCTACCAACTATTTATCTCCATTCCCTGGGAACTGGTACTCTTTCCAGACTAAATTACATCAATGTTTTTGTCATGCCCTAACAGTTTCCCAATAAACCCTTTCTTGTGACATTCCTCTGCTTGACACTTGATTATGCACTATCCATATTTCTGAGGAAGACAGTGCTGATGAGAGTGTGAGATTACTAAGATGGTGAGGAAAAAATGGGACTTCTCAGCCATTCTGGAGTCTAATAACAGAAAAATGTTCACCAACATCCTGAAAACTAACCAATTTTTTTAATTACTTTGATTTGAAAGTCAGTACAACCCTTGGTGATGTAGTGCTAGGCTTTAAAGTGTATTGATAACTAGACTTGTCATGCATAAGAGAAGAGGTTGGTATTGATTGGCATATGGAAGAAAATGATATGACCACCACACATGACAGACATACTAGAGTTTCAAGACGTTTTACTCTCCTCCCCCTTTCTTTATTCCTCCCAGGCAATCCTGCAGGGAAACTCTTTTCATCCCGTAAATATGGCTTTGGGACCTATGGGGTTACTTTCACAGCAAGGAGGGAAAAAACTGCATAAATTTGTAGTCCGAAAGTCTCTACAAGAGGGGAAAAGGCAGGGGATTCTGAAGGGTTTGAATGTCAACCACTAGAAAGATGGGGAAATAGATAATTGCATTTCAAAATCTAATCATTAGGGGTGGAAGGGAAAAAACAGAATCGGTTTTATGTTAGTGCCTGACAGCAAAGTAGGAAAGGGCAAACTCTGAGGAAGCTGTCTACCAACAGCCAAGCATTCAAGAAAGAAGATGACATTTTATATCACGATATTTTATTTCATTCTGACATTGTATATAGATAACATTGTCAGTTGTCCCTCCCTGGCCACTGAAATGAGGAAAACATCCTGGATTACATTCTTAATGTAGTGAGGGAGGAAGGAAGCATCAGCATGGGAGGTCTCACTGGAGCAGCGATCAGGCAGGCTGGTGGACAGCCCGGGGGGTCAGTGACCTGAAAGCAGGCAGACACCTACCACGGAGACATCTTTGCTGAAGGCATTTCAACCTAACTCGTAGCTCATTTTAGCGAGAAGGTAGCATTCTGCCATCAGCAGCTTGTGGAGAGGGGAAGGATCCTGGTCGGGTTTTTTTCCTTTCCTAACCACAGCATACAGATACAGTTTTAAAAGAAAAGACAAAAAAAAAACAAAACCTCTATCAGATTTTACACTTGCATTTAAGAATTAGGGAAAATGGAAAATCTGAAGTGATTTATGTCAGTACTTTTCTCACTATTACAAAAGAAAATACGAACAAAATCAGCAGGGATTTCACAGCAGCATTTAATTTCAAGTAGAATTGTGGTGACTTTTATCTAATCCTTAACATTCAACGAAATCTAGGTTGTTATATCAGTATTCAAAGATTAGCAAACTGCCATTTGCTCCAATTGCAGCTGTCAGATCTGTCAAATTAGGATCAAGTGCTTACCTCCTGTCACACAGACTGCAGCCACCCTGCCACAATTCCCTCATCTAGTGTTCTACCTGCATCAGTTTTCCCTGACAAAATGCCAATGTTTATACAGCTCTTGCATTTCCACTGAAGCAGGAGATAATTGCCAAGACAGCTCTGTGATCATGGGGAACCACAGCAAAAAAAATCAATGGAGTAAAAAAATACCTTTATTAGGTTTTTTAAAGAGCTCTTTCTAATGTTATGCACAAAAGAAGCTATTATGTAGTGCAGCTTTCTTATTCCTACAAAAAATTGAATGATTGTGAACACCAGTGACTAGTGCTTCTCACGCTGCAGATGAAGTAGGCACCAATACCTGTTTTACTTATGACTGATACATATTTTCCCTTGTAAGATACTCAGATATTTTCGTCTTTGACAAACTTTGCCAATTTTAAGTGATGCATACCTGAAAGTCAGGTACAAGCCATACTGTTCTGAAATACACCAGCCATTATAATTTAACCATTTCCAAGAATGAGGAAAAAGGACTTCTCCCTTTATCCTAGAAAGCCCTTTAATCTTTCTGTTTGAGAGTTTCCCTTTGAACACCAGCCTGAGATCTATAGCTGAAAGGTAGCCACTGTGTCAAAGATTTTTTTTTTTCTCTTCCTGTGAAAACTGACAAAATGTTAACCCATTTACAAATCTACCAAAAAAAAAAAATAATTAAAATCTACATTTATAAATATCTCCACCAGCTAGAGATGGAGAAATAGTTTATGATTATGTCACTAAAAACTGTCCAACATAATCAAAAGAATTAAGGTTCCATGCTCCATTTTAGCACTTCCTAAAATTTTAGATTTTGACATCACAGTTTTAAAATCATTAAATGGCAGAGGGGTTGTTTGTAAGAGTGAGCTCTTTCTGTTCCAAAGCAATTACAGAAGCTGTTTCAAATCCCCTGTATTAATAATTCACTATATGGAAAAGAGAAGCTTCCCTCTTGCTTTACAAGGAGAGAAAGCCAAAATACAAGAGTGATTAGACTTAATAGGAGCAAACTGCCATCTCTGGGCCCTAATTAGGAATTCTACCCTTAAGCATAAGCTGAGGCCCATACATACACATTTAACTGAATTAGGATCTACACGGCTATTGCATTAAATTTTATCAGGTCAAAAAAAAGGCGTTTAAGGTAAAGCAATGGCCTGCACTGCACAAAAACAACTGAACTGCTCTCGACTTGCTCCCTGTTGTCGGCCCTCTCCGAGGAGGGCATTTTTGCCAACTGAATGGAGCACAAGTCTTACTGTTCTTATTCTGAAAGTATTTTTTTTTTTTTGGATAAAACTAAAATAATGTCAGGTTTGTTTAATTTTACATTCATACACATTTAGCTACCTCTGATATGACATTAAATGTTTTCTGGAGGATCAGTGGACAGCTGATTTCACCAGGACTATTTCACCATAAATCTCACTTTGCAAAAGGCCAAATCCAGAAGAAAAAAATAGTTTTGTTAGCTCTGATTCTCTCCTTTTTTAATGTCCAAAATTGGACTCCTTCAGCATGAGGAGGCAGAACATATGAACTTTGCCCTAGAGATAAGCTTCCCAAATGCAGGGTCTCAAGACATGAGCTTCCCAAATATAGGCTATCAAGACATGTCTGGTGCCAGACTTCATTACTGCACGGTGGTCTACATCTAATAAGAAAATGGTGTTACCTAATATCCATGGGAAAGTAACTAAAATTAACCTTTTCTTACAGTTTGTCATAGAGGAGGCACAAAAGTTAAAGCAAAAAATTAGGAAAACCAAGGGGAAAAAAGAAAGCAGATGGAAATTGGGAAGTGTCATCTCTCTGCGCTGTCACAGCCCTGCCAGGCATGTGGACCTCCCCAGCTACAACAGAAAGGGAACTGAAGCAGGGCACTGCCAGCCAAAAGCATAGAGAGCTTTCCCCTGGAGTGTCCCATGGGCTGCACTTTTCCTGTTAAGAAACTATACATAGAAATCTTCATTAAAGCCACTCTTGATAGAAAATATTTGAAAGCAATTTCAGCAGCAGGCCTCACAACTTGCTGCCTGCATACAGCCCAGCTGGTAGCACAAGGGGCCAGGGGAAAGATGTGGCAGCAAGAGCCTGGGCACCGTGAAAGACCCTAAAGGTGGTGGGAACCCCATGGAGCAAGAGCTTCTCCTGCAAGGTGAGAGGAGGAAAGGTGAGATTCCCACCAGCCACTCCATGCACGCATGCAGGCAGCTGGATCAGCTGCTCTCTGTCACCTGCAGGCTGCCTTCAGCATGCTACCAACACAGTCCCAGCAGTTGAGGGCAAATTTTGTCCATGCAAGGATCTTTCCCTTACATGGAAATATACGTGAGGTGCCGACATGTGGCTGTGACCTACTGGCACTGGAGTGCCTCAGTCAGAGCTCATCATGTTTCAAGACTATAATATTGGAGTAGTCCTTGGAGAGAGCAAAGTCTCTGCCACAAGATACCAAGAAAAACAATTGGTATTCCCTATTTTAAGGAATTTCTGAGGAAAATAATCCGAAAGACACCACGCAAAAGCAAGCAACAAGATTTAGTTTGTCTTTCTCAGACTATCAGGGGGGCTTACCACTTACAAAATTGTATTTCCAAAGCAATAAAGCTACTTTTGGCATGAACTTGGTTTAAAAGAAACACAATTCAGATCCAGGTTTCAGTGCAGCTGCTTATGGTAATGCCTTTAAAATGTAACTAGACTGTGTAAAACACAAAACAGACCTGACAGATTATGTAATAAGTCCTGACTGAATTTCAAGCTACGCTTGTGTAAAGCAAAGCTACAAGAACCACTATGCAGAACACAAATGGACAAATGAACAAATGGAAATGGAAACCTTGCATGAGTGACAATTCTAACGTGCTCATTTGAGCATACACCAAAATATGATGCAGGTCTGAAAGGTACAACTTAGGCTGCACTGCTTCTTTGAACTGAGAGATTAAGGATCATTACAAGTTACTAAAAAGTTTTACTCGTATTTCTAGTTCTCTGAATCAAAAGCTACCCTTTTTCTTTCATCTCTGTCATTCTAGAGTCCTCTTACGTCAGTACTAGAAAATAGTATTTGAGCCCTTGTAGCCACATTGTATCTTTTATGCAGGAATCATACAAAAGACAGACATTAGTCCTTACTAATCATTCTTCACTAGCAATTATTAAAAATAATGTTTTAAATTATGAGAAAAATCAGAATATTTATTGGTAACTGCCATAGTAAAATATATAGTAAAAAGGATTTATTTTACTGTTCCCTTGGTATTTAAACTGCAATGTGTACACCTGTTTTTTCCAATAACTAATTTTTGAATGCCTGTACCAAACCATTTTTCCAGGTTGATTTTTAGTGCAATTCAAACCAATTCTTCTCCCTGAAGAACCTCTGTAAGAAGAAAAGCGGCAGAGGTAGAATCAGCACTCCTGTAATGTAACACATGTACCTTATCATCCTTCTTTAAAACACACAAGGACAGTAAAACACAAAACAGCTACTGCAGAGTTTGCAGTCCTTCCTGGAGTTGCTGCCTTATGGGATGCTGTCCATTCACAAGTCAGCCACATCCAATCCCATGACAGGGCCTCTCACACATCCCACCTCCAACCCTTCGCCTTTCTGAGAACGGTTAGAATTGGCCTAAATCTTCCTGGCCTGCTGTCATAATGCTGCTGTTAAGAGCAGACAAAAAGATGGCTTCCCAACCTCAGTGAAAATTACGTCATTACTTCTCCCTAATGACAGATTTGATTAGAAAGTAGTAATGGGAAAAGTCGCCATGCTCCTTGCTGGTGCAGCTGGCGTCATGGGCTGTTCAGCATGGGCATGATTACAGATGTGAGCCTCAATAACAAAATTATCTAAGCCTTTTTGGACGCAAGCAGTGAGGCTAATACAATATCCTGCAGCAGCAGGGAAGCCTGCCTGCTTTCTCCATGAAGAAATACTTCTTGTGTCTTCTGAAGTTTCCAGTCTTTCATTTCATTCATTGACCTATTCCCATGGGATTTTATGGAACTAGATGAGATAGGCACAAGTGATTTTTTTTATTATTATATAATTACTTTATTATAAAATTACTAATATTGAGCTTCACATTTCCTGTTCCAGGCTAAGTAATGATGTTAAGGGCAAAATAATTTGACCAACAGTATTTTTAGAACAAGATCTTTTATCAGGTTGTGTATATATATTCATATATATATTGATGAGCAGCAATTTTAGAACAGGGTACATTTAATATCCACGCATGCCCTGCACTCCTGGCAGGGGAGAAAGGAAGTAGGCAGAGGCTGGAGAGCGTGTGCAGAATCAAATTTCTGATCTGACCCACACGGTGCAGCAGTACTTTAGTTCTTCAAACAGTATTTATTGTATCGCCCTGGTCATTCTGGTCTCCACCTCATCTGAACCTTTAAAACACGCCCCCAGAATACAAGAATATAACGTTTGTAACAGCGATACGGTACAAAGCTGAGCAGCAATACAGCATTTGTCTAAGTAAAGCCATCAAAGGGGAAGTACAATTTGCTGTTTCTTAAAGTCTAAAATCTCCCTTCATATTCTGGGTTGATTTCTTCATACTCAGGTCAGCTTCAGGCTACAAAACACAGACAACTGTTTGTTGGCAGTTGGCACTTGGCTCTGGCCCCACAGAGCTGGACATTTTTTGCCAGTGGTTTAATTCCAGGCACGGAGACCCCCTTTTCTCTTCCCACAGGGAGCAAGCTGCAGTGGAGCACGGCCATCTCCATGGTGGTGTTTGCATGGCTGTTTGCTGCCTTTTGGTCCATGATGCCCCTGCTGGGGTGGGGGGAATACGACTACGAACCCCTCCGAACCTGCTGCACCCTGGACTACAGCAAAGGGGACAGGTGAGGGCCAGGGACAGTTGCTATGGGAAGGAGGGATGTGGCTGCCATCCCCTGGGGTGGCCTTGGCAGCACACCAAATCCCACAGCTGTCCCTTAACACTGCTGCTGGGGCAATCTCCCTCCTTGCTAGGGCAAGGCAGGCATAATCGGAGGCTGCCTTGACACACATGGTGGCATGCGGGAACATCTAAAGTCAGCTTTTGCTGTGCTCAGGTTTCTGCTACACCCTTGTTCATCTGTAAGCTGCATATGTTCTGAGTTTAAGAATTAAAACTGTTTTGGAATGGTTCTGGTTTTATGCAGTCCAGCACAGATGTCTGAGTAGGGATGCTTGGGTTTAGAAACCAAACATCCATTGTGATTTTCTACAATGCAGGCAGTCCCGCACATAACAGCATGGCACAGCTTAACCAGCCTCCAGCAAATGCTGCACCTAAAGTATGTTGACAAAAGTGGTTTGGGCAATTAAAAATAGAAAAAACAAACAAATATTTACAGCAAGTTTACAGAGATGCCTAGAGAGGAATTAACAACCTCTTTTTTTTCCTCCTCACCCTTTCCAGAAACTACATCACATTCCTTTTCGCTTTGTCCATTTTCAATTTTGTGATCCCAGGCTTCATCATGCTGACAGCCTATCAGTCCATACTCCAGAAGTTCAAGAAAACTGGGCACTATAAGGTAAGAAAGCTTCCTCAGCCCTGAACCTACCTTGCCAAAATAGGGCTGCGTCCACTAGAGACAAAGTCCTCGAAAAACAACTTTCTTCACAGACGCTTTGGCTTGGCGTCCTCTGTGCTAACCCCCCAGTGCTGTTACTTGAGTAGGAGAGTAGCACAACACAGATGGGGACACCCGAGAATTTCGTGGAAACTCCATCCTTAGAGATCTCAAGATCTGACCAGCCAGCCGCATCTGTCCAGCCCAGCTCTTTAAAGACTTCCCCATCAAAGCTGGGGTCAGGCTAGTGACCCTGAGGATTCCCCTCCACCACCAAAGGTCCAGCTCTTGTCACAAAACAAACAGGCAGCACAGAGAATATTCACTAATAGCATATTTATATTTACCTAGAGAAACTGCTCAGGAAGGATCATTATTTCCTGCTTTGCTACAGGACATTAGCTTGTCACAGAGGAAGTCAGCCAGAACATCAGCACTGCAAGGAATCATGCAGACCCCTCCTGAGGGAAGAAGGACCTTCCTATACATGCTGTGTTTTCACTTGGCTGAGGAAATTCAGAAATCTTTATGAGCTGGAAACAAAGGAATTTCTATGGTGTGGCGGGTTTATGGGATTGCGATGTGATTATATGAGTTGTTCCCTTAGGTGCAGGCTCTACAGTCTGAGGCACTATGCAGAGCTGGCAGGCACAGCCTGACCCCTGCACTCAGTAAAGATGGTCACTTCTCAAAGGGGATGTTATACCAGCAAAGAGACAGACAGACTGGTTTGTAGCTGCCTGGAATTAATACACGTACCCTCTATGAGAAATACTTGAATACTTCTCAGCGTTTATTATTATAAGTCTACTGCCTTTTCTTCCAGTGTGTTTATGCAATAGTGTGCCATTTCTCTCCCACAATATTCTCTAGCTGTGCAGACAAGTTACAATGCAGAAAATTTAAGGATTAAATTATCACTTCCCTATCATTAACATAAGATACATGGGAAGAGCTGGCTGTGAACACCATGGATAAGGCCCTAGCATAAAGGACAGAAGAATCATACTACCACAACACAAATGCCACTACATGGATCTGTTGCACTGCCGTAGTAGGTTTCACACAGTTTATTTGCCTGCAAGACCCTCTAAGAAGTCAGCAAAATGCCGTTCTTTTTTTACCTGTTTTCAAACTTCCACACTGCCCTTCCTCCTCAGCAGCAATTACCAGCCACGGCTTCTCTGTCTAGCACACTCATTCATCTAACTGATCTACCACAAGGTGCTTTTCACTTCTGCCCGGGAGCAGCTCTATCCCACACCCACCCCTCGGGAGCAGGGCTTTGGGGCTCGCAGGCAGCCCATGATGCAGAGGGAGCTGCACTCCCCCTGACTTCGACAGCAAAGCAGCAATGATATCCATATCCTGCTGGCTGATCCTCTCCTGCTGCTGAGCACAAACCATGGTCTCTTAGGATCTGTTCTATCTGCTTGTTGCAGTTTGCAATTGTGAAACGCAAAGAAATGTATTGCTCTTGTTTTTCAGTTTAATACTGGTTTACCACTGAAGACGCTGGTCATTTGCTGGGGCCCTTATTGCCTTTTATGCTTCTACGCAGCAGTTGAAAATGTGATGTTCATTTCACCAAAATACCGCATGGTATGTCTGTGCCACCTAAGGGAATTCAAGCAGTGACATTCTGCTTGCTCTCCTCTCTCCATTCCTATGGAACAATGCCAATTTACTCACAAATTGGTTTAGCTGTTATAACATATATATAAGAAGTAGATTGTTTCCTTAAACATCATGTTCATCTCATTCTTTAAGTCAAAACAGCTAAGCACAGTGATATAACAGGCATTATAGTAATGCTTAGATCAAGCAACAATTTCGGAAGCCAGGGTTTTTTTCTTTAGCTCTCAAGAGTCTGTAGCCTGTGCTGCTTCCTGGTTCATAGGTGCTTTTTCTGTCCTTCCCAGAGTCAAGCACCAGCTCCATGTTTTTAATTTTGAAGAGAGTCTCTCATTCATTTTTCTAATACTTCTCTGTCCTCAGGGAAGCTACAATTGATCTCTGTTAACATTATGCCACCTCCTTTTTTTCCCTTTTTCCTACGAGTCCTGGCTCCAAAACTGAGTCTGGGACTCACATCAAACCTTTCAACTTTCATTCAGTCCCCAAGAATCAGCTCAGTTTCAGGTCACCAAATGCATGCCTGTACTTAGGAATTTAGTACCCCACATAAAATGTGTTAGAAGTATCAGCTCACTTACCCACCAAAAGGTGTCTGCAGCCCACCCTTCACTCCTCATAAGTGTTTGTATTCACTCTCAACTGAAATACACCAGTTTCAGGGAATGCTGATCTAAATTCTTTCTCCTGGAGACTACTATTTCCTGAGTAATGGCCTCCAACTGACCAAACTGCTTTTACCTGACATCTCTCTGGGAGTAGCAAACTACTGGCATTGGAGACAGGCATTTGTTTGGTAAAGGGAAACTGAGCCTAGGCTGAAAACAGCTCATTGGCTCCTTAGGGCATTTTCCTATTAACAAATATTGCGTCTCACTACAGATTCCTGCTGTTATTGCCAAGACTGTGCCTACGGTGGATGCCTTTATATATGCCTTGGGGAATGAGAACTACAGAGGAGGAATATGGCAGTTCCTCACAGGACAGAAGATTGAGAAAGCAGAAGTTGATAACAAAACTAAATAACCCATTACAGCACTGAGCAAGATTAATTCAAGTGCATCACTGAAAGCAAAACTATAGAGGAAACTGCATTCTCTGATGTGTACATGCAAAGGTGGTTCCACATTGGAAAGGCTGTGCATTGGCTACAAGCAACAAAGTACTAAAAGTAAGCCCTCCAGATAACTGTTCAAACCATCATGAGCTGCTTGTCAAACAAGCTGCCTTAAACCTATGTCGATTGTCATCAGTTTCATTTTATATGTCACTGCAAATAAACTACGTGCTGGAAAGCATTTTTTTTCCTTTTACACTAAAATAAAAGCTCAGCAAATTAACTGAAGCAGGGTATTCATTTATCCAGTGAGACCTCCTCAAAGCAATCTGTACAGTTTGTCCATATGGTAATGTCTGGATTACCTAAAAGATTAAAGGAATATCCAGTATTACACCACATGTCTGCATAAACAGCTTGTTCATTGAACAACACACTTTCAATGCACCCAAAATGAGAGTTCCCAAATTTTCAGGATGAATCTGCCATACTAATTCTATAAAAGTATTTTAGTGGGCATTTTACCCCAGTAAGGAATATTAGCTTGGCTTCTACTCAAATGAATTAGTATGTGACATTCAGCTTTGCCACACACTAAACTGCATCAGATTTTGCAGCTGCTGCTTACAAGGAAAATCAACAAGCTCATACTCCATCATAAAAACATTCATCTTTTTATCAAACACTGAGCAAAAACTAAAGGCATGGACGGGTCCAATTCTGTTCTAAAAATGTCAGAAGAATAAAAATTAACTTCATATCTGCCATTAAATTCCCCTGTGCTCTACATGAGCGAGAATAATCACTGAATCAGTTGTAACTAAAGAGTCTGAGCAATTAAAAAGCCATTAATTGTATAATTCACAGAATTCATATATATTTTTAACTATTAGAAATGTCCATTTTAAACATTTGTATTTGTGCATGTTGCTCACACTGCCTACAGGCTGAAAAACTGTCACTTGATATTGCCTGTTACTACAAGGTATGTCTCAGAATGACCTCTCTGCAAAAAAAAATATAGGCATGACACACAGAATACAAGAGATTGTGTGTATAAAAAGCCAAACCTAATTGATTCTTACAGGGATCGTATGGTTCATTTCCAAGCATTGACAGTGAAAAAGCTTTTGAAGCTAACCAAAGAAAAAGCTGATTTGTGCCTATGATGCTTCCTAACATATTAAAATGGTTGTGTATGGGTTACAAAAGGGTAAGGAAAAACAGTTGTATATAGGTTATAGAAGGGTAGATGGAATCTAAATTTATCTAAATCTAAATCTAATCCTGGAAGCTAAACAATCAGTGGAATAGAAAGGACATTCCCTTCATGGCCAGAAAGAGGAAATACAAGTCATTTTGTTGCAAGTTAACCAGCAGAATTCCATTCAGAGATGTGCTCTGGGGCTTGTGAGGCTCAACAGTCACAAAAAAGGCTGACAGAGCAGTGAATAACACCAGTACAAAATTATTCAGAATAATCACATCTAAAGCTGACAGCTAAGACTTACATCTTAGGTACCCATATTATTAAGTGAGCAGATGACAAAATGTTTGCAGTGATAAGTGCAAAATAATGTGTATGGGGGCAAAATTACCTTTAAGTAAGTGACAGGCTCTGAATCTGTAATTATCTTTTTCTCAGGAAAGAGACCTGGGCAAGTCTTAAAATCATCATTTCACTTGTCAGCGGGCTCATACTGATAAATCCCAGCAGAATGCTAAAAAAACACTAAAAACGGAATAGGAAACAAAAGAGGACACATGATTACACCACTTGAAAGCCACTGTGCTCACTTTTATGGAATAGGGTGCATAGTTCGGGTCATTCCAACTCAATGAGCATAGAGATAAGCTAGAAAAGAGCCACAGGGATAATCAAACATAAGGAAAAGCTTGAAAACAATGGGAGATTGCTGGCTCAGAAGGGGTAGCTGGTGAGGAGACCAAAGACAGCCTTATTGAAGCAGGGGTTCAGATACCTAAAATAAATGTTTCTCAACCAGTTAGGCCCATAACTGTTCCAGCCTAGGGGCTCCTTCATACCACTTACAAAGGCTCTTGACTGAGTAAAGAGATATGCAAACGAAGCATTTGAACAAACTGAGTTCATAATGCCTTGGGTGCTGACTTCCTAAGAAAGAGTGGAGGAAATGAGGTTGCTTGTGGCTCATTTACTGGATGGCGGATAATCTCAAATTGAGACAAACAAAAAAGAGATGGAAATAAACATAAATGTTTCTAGGAAGTGGTCACCAAGACATAAATCCTCTTCTAGCTAGAACCATTTCTTACCAGCAATTTATGCACATTAAGAACTGGCTGACAACTACTTACAAGTGCACCAACATGCATGCTGTCTTTACTTCAGAAAAATGTCTGAAAGCAAACTGCAGTGTACCAAGAAGCCAAACACACGCTTCCAGTTAATTACACAGGTTATCCTTAGCACAGCCAGTCTTTACCACAACAGCATTGGCCTGGTGCCCTCTGGCACTGCTGGTTTTTCAGAGCTTGCCAATGAATATCTGCTACCATCCTGATAAAGCCTGTCACAAAAATTTCCCACATCTCAAGTGGTTACGCTGAAGTAAGTTATGCAAAACCCCATTAAGTTTCCACACTCTGGAGAATCCCAGATGGCTATAAACAGGTTGTCTATTACCCTGACCAAAGTACAGCCCAGGGTATTACACAGGGACTGGGAAACATTCCCATACAGGTAGTACCCCACCTACTACCCGAAAAAAAACCATAAAGTAAGGAGAAAAGTATAACCTTTGGATGCATTCAGCAACTCAGCTCAAGCCAGAACAGCCAGTCTGAACATCACTGGTTAATACCTGTCCTGTCACTAAAGACAAGAGCAGATACAACCCACTTTTAAAAATAATTAGATGGCACTTCAGGGTACAACACATTAGCTATGGCAGCATTTGTTGGGGAGGGTTTGGATAATTGATCATGATCAAGATAGAAGAGGAAAGCATGCCTCTCCTTAGTTGATACAGTATCTAATCACTCTTAACACACAATGATCTGCAGTATTATATCCAATACTACCACAACACCCTACTACCCCTCTTTACAGGAAGCCTGATTTTGCACATTTCCCTCACAGTGAATATTTTGATGCACTGGTGAAAAACAGACTTCTGAAGAAGAAATCGAAGGCAATTTTTCCTCCTTACCCTAGACACAATCGGCATAATTTCTTCAGGTTTTCTTCCAGCAGACAGAAATGCCTTAAACCTTAAACAGCATCTCTTGCAGTCCTATTTTCAAGGCTATTAAACACCCACAACTCCAAACGAAAATGCTGTATCCTCAATAATGCTGCAAATTAAGGTCTTGCTGACTCAGCTTCCCCACACTGCCCACACTTACAAACACCCTACAGTTCAATATAGGGGAGTTGAGTTTTTCTGCAGCCCACATTCTTCATATGCTCCATACACTTTCTGATGATTTTTTCCCAGCATCTCTTGTACATCTGATGATGGCACTACAAACTGATTTAGGATTAGGGTCAGGGGAAGAATTTGCACTGCAAATTCACTCCTAGTCTGCCATCTCACTACTTTGAATCACATTACTGTAAAACAGTGAAGTGAGCTGGTTTTGTCACCACAGGGAAAAAAGCATTGCCAAATTCCTACTCATGGACACAAGGGCTAATGACTGGTATGGGTCACCAAGTTGGGATACAGAGACTCAACTGTAACGTAAGGCCCTTATAATATGATGACAGCAAGTGTTAGCATTTCACTTGGAAGGGTGGCTAAGTGCAGACTCACACCTCAGCCTACGATACTGTGAGTTTGCATTTTGAAGTTAAAATGCAAAACTATTTTGTACCATCTGCCTTGTACGCATACTCACACTTAGAGATTATTCATCAGAGAATTACAGTCTATGGTCTGTACGAGCTACCCTGGACAGGCTAACACGGCAGACAGAAGGTGCTATGAAAACAGGCATTCCACTTTCTGCAGAGAAAAAGGGAAGATGGACCTGTTGCATTAAGATTATGTAAAATAATAAGAATTTTTAAATGTGAACACACATGCCCACACATCTGGCTTAGGTGCTGCTTGGAAATTTGCTAGTGTAAGGTAATCTCTTGCATTTTATTAAAAGACAAAAGGATCCAATAATAACAGCAACAGAAAACACAACAACTCCAAGATCTCAGTAAGATGCAAGTTTGAATGATCATGAATACAATCAAAATTGTGTATGCAAGACTTAATTCTTTTTTAACACTTTAAGACCCTTGGATTTCCACAGGCAGGATTTTTTCCTGCATTAGCAATGTATGAAGTTTTCCAAAGCAGGATTTGTTCAGAATGCCACATCAAATCATTGATCTGTCAGAAAAGGAGAGCTAGGGCTAGAGCTAGGTGCTGTGCTGGGCTAGAGATTTTGTTCATCTGAGCAGTAGACAAGCTCAGGGCTCAGCCCCCTGCACGCTGGTTAGAGATGAGTCCCCTGAACAATGCCAGAGAGGTGAGACAAAGGGAACTGAACTGCTGCCTTGGGATGGGCCCACAGTAATAGTTACTACAACTAAGAGTTTTCACCTAAATGTTGATTTCATGTTAAGAAGTATTTCGGATGCAGATTCAACTACCTGCTCTAAAAGAAATCTGGTTTTAATTAGCCCAGGTTCAAAATTAATGTAAACTAATCAAACACTGTTTTCAGAAATATGCTTCAGAGCACAATACTTCATTCATTAAGCCTCTAATGGTAGAAAATGTGCTTCCTTTTAATAACAATTTGTTCTTAGGAATCTGAAAAATAACTGTGTATTTATAAAGCACAGTCTAACATCTTTATATAGGGCTATCATAAGTCAAGTTTTAAAAATAACTATTTCTAACTGGAAGTACAAGAGTGTGACTGTAGGAAGACAAATATCTGGGGCCTACAAACCTTACTTGAAAAGAAAGGACTGAAATGGTGACAGCATCAGTTCACTTTCATATGGAAAACAGCAAAGAAAATTATGCAATTGGAAGCAAAGAGCAAACTATCAAGTCTTAATGGCAAGACTGCTAAATTTTCAATGCGCTTTAGATCTTGACAGGGAAAACAAACTGCATTTTGGCAGACAATAGCTGGAAGCTGTAATTGCTGGAGAAGTCACTGAATTTTCTTGGTGAACGGTGAGGTAAGAGATTTTTTCCTCATCATGGTTTTTAATGATTTGTGTCCACTGCCCAAGGTTTGTTCCACTGAACTACACAAGGAGGTGCTTAATTTCGTTCTCCACAAGCTGACCCAACATTCAAACACAGGCAGTTTTGCAAACAAATTGTATCACATTAGATGAGAGGTTTTGCTGAAAAGAAGCTGTACATGCAGAAGCTTAAAGACGTTATTAAGTACAGATGGGGCAGGGAAAGTGCCGTTAAACAAAGGGGAGACAAAACTACTGCTTTGATGGCAATATCTGTCAGCTCTTTCACTACTGAACCAGACTCACTGAAACCTCAAAGCTGATTGGCACTTTGTAATTATGCTTCTGTCCCAGCAATGGCATTGAGTGGCAGCATGTCCTAGATATCACACTGAATAGCACCTCTGATGTACGAATTAAATGCTGCATTTCCTACACTGGAAAGCTTTCAACTTTCTTGAAATAGCTAACGAAGAAAAATCTTAATGGAGACAAGAGAGTAGGCTGATTTAGTGAGTTAGCCTTTTATCTACAAAGAGACTACATACTGAGATACTTGGCACAGACATACAATATATACAGCTCC